AAGTGGAACTATTTGCATAATAATGACAAAAAAGTTTTAGGAAAAGTCGGGTTGACTCATCTGAAACTTAAATTCGAATTCCTGAGCAGCTTCTGACTAATGAGCCTGAACCATTCAGAATTGTCCCAACCCTCTTCTTTAGCAGTAGAAAGGGGATTATGTAAAGATCTGGGGGGAAATTTACAATACATACCTAGGTTTTGCAAACTTCTCCTTCCACAAAGCCACACCAGGAGAATAGGGCAAATATATCTGTCTAGGAGCTCTGCAAATTTAGCCTGAAGTTGCCCATTTTCTCTTTAGCACTTACATGTATTTGAACTAATGACATAATATATTCATCTCTGTAAAAATATAAATGCTCTAAGTTATTGGCTAATTAAAATCATGTTCCCCCCCCATATTAATTAGGCTATGGGCTACACTGCTGTATCAATAAGATCCCAAATATAGTTGCTCAAACCAGATGTCCTACTTCTCACGCCCACAGTCTGGAGACAGCAGCTTGTTAAGAGCAGCACTACTCCTCGAGGACGTCCAGGGACCCGACTTCCTTCCATGTTGTTGCTCCCTACCCCTTAAGGCATCACCCTTGTCTGGTCAAAGCTCACTCGACTCCAAATCTATGTTTCAGATTGGGAAATGCAGAAAAGTGAAGATGAGTATCATTTCCACTTATAGTTCATGGATTACTCACGTGGCTACAAATCGATGCAGAGGATGGAAAACAATTTCCAATTTACATGTGACCGGCAAAACGAAAGTAAAAGTCATGCTACAGAAGCATATACCACATTCATCTTATAGATTTATGCATGCATGTCAACTGATTTATTTCCCAGGAGATGCCCCATAAAAGGACACTATAAGACATGAGTCTGCAAAAATTTCCTGTAAAGAATAAGGCAGTAAATATCTTAGGCTTTCTTGATCATATCCTCTTGGTTGCAACTACTCAACTCTGCTGTTGTAGTACAAAAGAAGCTGTAAGCTACATCAGTGGTCCCGACCTTTTTGACACACCAGGGACTGGTTTTTCCACCAACAGGGTCTTGGCGGGGGGGCGGGGGGGGCAAGGATTGGGGACAGGACCTTAGGCTGGGTTGGCAATCAGGAGGCAGAGCTTAGGCGAAGCCACACTTGCTCACAAGCTGTTCACCCCTGCAGAGGACGGGGCTGGGCGAGGTTGTGGGGTGGAGTCAGGAGGCAGAGCTCAGGCGAGCTTCCCTCCTGTGGGTTCCTAACAGCCTGTGCTCAGCGGTTGGGGGAACCCCCTGGACTACATGACGACATAAAGTACAGCGGTGTCCAACCCACAGCTGGTGCACCGCACGAGGCTCAGGATGGCTATGAATGTAGCCCAACACAAAACCGTAAATTTACTTAAAACTTTTTTTTTGCTCTTCAGCTTTTGTGAGTGTTTGTATATTTAATGTGTGGCCCAAGACAATTCTTCCAGTGTGGGTCAGAGACGCCAAAAGGTTTCATTCATAATTACTGTAAACAAAAGTGCTTGACTGTTGCTTTAGTTATCTATTACGGCATAACAAATTACTATACATTGAGATGTTTAACTTAGAACATATTTGTTATTTCACAATCACCATGCGCCAGGAGTCTGGGGCTGCATGCAGGAGGATCTCACAGGGCTGCGATCGTGACTAGCAGGGCCTGTGTTCCCATCTGAAGGCTTGCCTGGGAGAGAACTCACTTCCAATCTCACTCTGACTGTTTGCGGATTTACATCCTCATGGCTGCAGGGCTGAGGGCCTAGGGCTGTAGCTTCTTGCTGGCTATTGGTCATCCTCAGCTCCTCACCATGTGTCTGTCCAGAGCCCCTCTCATAACATGACAGCTTGCTTCTTCAAAGTAAGAAGGGAGAAAATCCCTAGAATGAATTTGGTGGTGCAAAAGAATTTTACATAACATAATAATAACGGGTGCGACATTTTATTATCTTCGCCATATTCAGTTGGTTAGAAGCAAATAACAGGTGCTTGCTGCCTGCACTCAAGGGGAGAGGATTAGACTGAGATGTAAATACCAAAAGACAGGAATGACTGAGAATCTGTCCATCATAGCTGTGTTCCAATAAAACTTCATAAAAGCAAGTGACGAGCTAAATGAGGACCTCAGGCCATGGTTTGCTGGTGCCCGTTACAATGAATAAGAGGAAGAAGATGTTGTCTAAGGTAAGAAGATACAGAAATTCCTTGAATAGAGTTAAAAGTTAGATTTCTCAGAGCCAGAAGAGCTATGTAGAAAGATAGTTATAGAAAAAAAATTCCAATTCTGGTCCCATCCCATAAAACATCCACTACCTTATTTTATTAATAAAAAATTAAGAGTGGGAAAGATCAGCATTACGTTTGAACCCAGTAGTCGTAAGACTGAGTTATTATTGGAACTCCAAGTAAAGTCAAAGTGAAGGGCTTCATAGCAAGCTTTCTGCAATTCAAACCTGACCTGGAACAATTTCAACAGCAAGCCTGCTCATTTTTTTAAAGTGATTATGAAAGCGACAGCTAACACTTATTATGTGATTAGTGCATATCAAGAATTATGCTATTTAATATGAATTATCTCATTGCATCTTCATAACACTCCCATGTTATTTAGATTATTATTTCCATTAGAAAGATGAGGAAACTAAGCTTTAGCAAACTAAACACAAAAAGTAGTAGAAATACGATGTGACTCGTTGTCTGTCCCGAGGCTACAGACACTTACATTTTATTTGAAGAGTAATGGGAAGGTCTTTGAGGAGTTTCAGGCAGGGAGAGTGTAGTTGGCATGACTACTGTTTTAAAAATATTAGATCTGTGTGAAGACTGGACTGAAGCGGGACTAGAGTGGAAACAGGGTGGTCCACAGCAAAGATGATGGTCACCTGGAAACAGGAGTGTCCTCAATATTTGTAGGATATTTTGGTGGTAGAAGTGACTACATCATACTGTGCTCTCTTCTTCTTCACTACATTCTAGCCACACTGACCTTCTTTGGTCCTGGAAAAGTGCTAAGGCTCAGGGGTGTCCAACCTGTGGCCCACAGGCTGCATGCGGCTCAGGGGGGCTGTGAATGCGGCCCAGCACAAAATCGTAAATTTACTTAAAACATTATCAGATTTTTTTTTATACTATGTGTTGCAATGTATTTAATGTGTGGCCCAAGACAACTCTTCTTCTTCCAGTGTGGCCCAGAGAGGCTGAAAAGTGGGGCACCCCTGTAAGCCTCTTCCGATGGACATTGACTAAGCCAGTCTACTTGTTTGGAGCACTGTTCGCTGTTCCTCTATTGCTTCATTCTAACCCAGGCTATAGGACTTGGCACAAATCTCGTTTCCTCAGAGAATCTTTCCTTGATGCCCTGAGGTCCCATCTTTTATTTTCTTAATGGAATTCAATTATTTTTAATCCCATACTTGTTCACAATTTATTCATATTTTGTTTTAAAAAACTAACACATTAAGCTTCAAGAAGCCAAGAACTATATTTATTTTGCTCATCAGTGTTAACATACTACCTCGAGTACACAGCTCCTGGTACCATGGGAACCCACTGAATATTTGTTGAGGAAAGGAATGTCTAACCTTAGTGCCCTTATACTTGGATACTGTGCTACTGCCTCTCCCATTTGCTGGTTTTAGAAGTGGTTTCCTCTTCAACTCCTCAGGAGTTGGCAATACAACATACCCAAAGTAATTAGTGATGTTCCAGTCTTCAACCCACTCTCACCCACCACACTCTTCCCAAAACCTGATCCCAGGTTAAGAGAATATTGAGAATGAAATGTACCATGGGAGGGAGGGACTACTGATGTTAGTCTGAAGCTAGGTATATTTGAAAAATAGGTATAAGAATAGTACCTCAGTTCTTTTCTAACAAGCAATGTCCAACTCTCATACAAGACACATTTATTTGCTAAGATAGTAGGTCCCAGCCCTGACTTGTCCTTCCACCCATCTTCCTTCTGTTAAAAAGTAACCTGCATGTCATACTTTCTTGAAATGATATCTTCTTTGACTTCTGTATTGAAACAATGATGGTGCCTTAGAGAATGAAATGATCTGCAGTTAAATATAGTTCAGGAAAAATTACGTTCTTGGTTGGAATTAGACCTTTTACTTGTCCTTTCTTCAGTGCTGTTGGTCAGACTTCCTTGAACTAGACCAGTGGAGAGAAAACTACTCCCAACATTTTTCTATATGTTTGGATACACTCTTAGGGAATATAAAGCCAGCTCTTCTAGGGGGCATAACACAAGCTACTGTTAGAAACTTCCTTTTGAACTGTCACATTTAATTTAGATGCCTACATTGGTAGTTATCTATTAAACCAATGAAAACTTCTACCTTTCTAAATGGTGAGGAAGGCCTAACAAATCAACTTGAGATGATACATGTTTATTTGTACATAAGAAGTCTGAAACATATTAATCAAAATGTTTATAGTAGGTAGTTCCCTCTGGCATCCGGCAGAGCAGAGCATTAAAAAAAAGAGAGATCCCGCAAAACACATATGGAAACAAATCTCATTGTATTATAAACATGTGTTCCAGATCTCCTGTCAGTGGAAGTTTGAGTTTACAAACCTTTTAAATGGATCAACTAATAATATTTACTTTCTGAAGTAATCCAAACTCCCAATCCTTTTAAGCAACAATATAGAACACACTTATAAAGAAGGGTATAAATTCTATATATTGAACATTTACTTGGGAAACATTTAACACCAACATTACTTGGATACCTGATATAAAGAATATGATTTACTATCAATGGTTCTGTCTGTTTAGGACATTTTGAAATCAAATTCCTTAATGTGAAGAAAAGCCATGTTTGAATCAATCTGTCTCTCTCATTTTCTCCCCCTTCCTGGGTCCCTCCCTCTCTGTGTCTCTGAAAACAATATAGAACAAATATTTGATTCATAAAAATTCAACTGATATTATTTTACCTAAACATACTCATATTTATATATATTCATATGTTTACCTAAACATACTCATATTTATATATATTCATAGCATAAAGTACTGTGCTAATTCTAAGAAAAAATTTATTGACTAAAATTAATTAACATATATATATAGAAAGTGAATGTAAAAGTTATGTTTTGAAATTTTAAGGATACCCATTTAGCATTTATTACAATTCTTTTTAGTCATAATCTGAATCTGTCTCCCATACTATGAAGTGAATCATTATTAATCTGCAGCACAAAAAAAACCATACAAAAACCTGGACTGTTATTAAATCATGAAACTCAGATAAAAAATTAAAATGCAGAGAAGCCCACACTGGAATTACCCGATACACTAGTACTAACTCTATTTTTTTAATTTTATTTATTTATCTTTAGAAGGGAAGGGAAGGAGAGAAGGAGAGAAATATCAATGTATGGTTGCTTCTCACAGGTCCCCTGCTGGGAACTGGCCTGCAACCCAGGCATGTGTCCTGACGGGGAATTGAACTGCGATCTTTTGGTTCGCAGGCCTGTGCTCAATCCACTGAGCTACATCAGCCAGGGACACTAACTCTATTTTTAATTGCTTTCCTATATTATTTCCATAGCAAAATATACTCATTATATTCAAAGAAAAATACTGTACTGTGACTGCATGTGGCTGCTTTCTTACTTTTATTAAGGTAATTACTGGAGTTCTTGTATCCAGGGATTCTGTAGGTATCATCAAGTATGTAAAAAAAAAGCTTGTTAGGCAATAAAGCACAAATAGGACAGTAAAAACAATATGGCATTCACTTCTGTTTTTTTTTTTTAAACAGAAGTGCTCTCAACAATTGCTTGCTGTTGGCTCATGGAACCAGAGAATGTATATTGGAACCTCAGTCCTCAGGAAATGATTTCTCTTAGCTATTATTTGTCTAAGAAGTGACAAACCATATAATTTACAAGAAGAAAACTACTGAATCCTTCAGAAAACACAACCTGGCAGTCTATCTTCAAAGCAAAACAATGAGGTGGCAGGCGTGTGCTGGAGAAACCAGTCGTCAGGAGCATCATGTAAGGGAATCCAGCTGTGCCTGTATGGTCTCCAGCTATTTACAGAGACAAAAAAAAGAGAGAAAGTTGGTGAGGAGAGAGAAATTCATATGAAGTACTGTTCAGAAACATGCAAATGGAAGGGAAAGAACAGCACTGGCAATTATGTCTATTAAATACATTCACATGACAGTAAATATACCACTTAACATTTTTCTTTTTATGTGAAAATATTAGAATTTGTGCTTGCTAAGTTTTTGAATCTGTAAAGGATGATTTCTAAATACTACTGTTTTAAACACACACAGCTGTTTCATTTTAAGAGATCACCACGTAAGATTTTCAAAGAGGATGGTGGTTTCCTAGATTACAAAAATCAGTTTTTGGAGAAAACCATAAAATATGCTCAAAGATAAATCTTTAAGGACTGCTCTCTTTTCCCTTACACCCAGAAATAAAAATATTTAACACTGCTTTATATGTAAAGTGCCAGCGTGGCTAGGTACCACATAATTCATCACTTATTGCTTTAATTAAAGCCATTTCCATTTCTTCCAGATTTAGTTTATCGGATTCTCTTCATCTCAGCAATGCTTCCTACTGTGAAACATAAGGTGTTTACAAGTGAATTTTAAAGAACTTAGTTCCATAATAGGGCATTTAAAAATAAAAAATTCAGAAAATGAAAGAAACATAAAAAAACTACTTATCAGAAATTATTTTTAAAACACTGACCTTGTTATAGAAATCAAACAGCTCCTTGTGACTGAATTCCACAAGAACCTTTTCCATATTCTGTAAGAAAGAAGAAAAAGAATTCAGTTGTACACAATTTTTACAGCATTTTTTCTCTCCAGCTAGCCCCCCCCCAATATGGCATATTATTTATTCTCTGAGAGGTTCTAAAAAAGATACTTACCCTCTGTACTTAACACACCATTGTTCCTAGAACTCACAAATGCACTTAATAACACTCCACTTTAGCAAAACATTTCAACACTATAGGGACATCTGTTCTTTAAGTTGACTCCACAGAAGTTAATAAAATAAATGCAAGCAAGAGAAAATTTCATTATCTATTTTTTCAAGACCGAGATAATACATGAGATTATATTTCATCTTTCTCAGCAGTCTATTTGAAATCTAGAAAATGCCCTTACATAAAGACACTGGAGGCGGCATATCTGATTGAACCCATCCAGCCATTAATGTCTCACATCAGCACAGCTGCTGCCCCCAAGCATCTGACAGTATGATCTTAACCTGCTGAGACTGCTACCTTTTTAAATGTATACACTCAGCAAAAGTTAACCATTAATACAACGGCTTCAAAGCCAGGACTTAAGCTCCTTCCTTTACCTCACATGCCACACAGAGAAACCTTTACGGACGCCCCAGCTGCTAAACCACACTGTGCACGTTCGCACGGCGGCGCGGTGCAGTCGAGCCCAATGTGCTCCAACGGGCTCTAGGCTGCTTTTGTAAACTGAGGAAACAAACTAGTTTCTGAGATTGTTCAAACATGTCTGTTTAACTCAAGGTGCCTTTGGGAAATAAAGTTAGTGAGAAAAGGCCAAGAATGTGCTACCTGCTCGGACCACACTGTCATGCCCACATGACCTTAAAAAGCCGCAGGACTGAAGGAGTGGAGAACTGTTGCAGACGCTGAGTCCTGTACCTGAGTGGCTGTGGTCCTTTCCAACATTCTAGTCATTCTAGACCTCATGTCTGTGTCAAGTTCCTTTGTTTTATCTTTTCAAAATTTATTTCCATTTCTATTTACAAAGACAACATTTTCAAAACGACTGATCTCCAGCTCACCCAGTTGAGTCCAGAGAGCTGTGGCACCCACTTTTCATGAAGCTGAAGCCCACAGGATCAAATCCTATACTTCGTTTTTTCTTTTACACCCACCCAAGTATTTAAGCTTTAAAATGAATGAAGAAGCATATATTCTTTAAGGCCTCATCCTTTAGGAATGATTTAAAACTATGAAGTCTTCAAATTGCACTAGAAAGACTAGTTGGCTAGCTGTCGCCTAGCGTTAAACCCTGAATGTGAATCAGCATCTCTGAGCAGTGCTGTGTCTCCTCCCAGCGGTTAAAGGGGGACGACAGGCCTGGGTATAACCCTAAGGAAAAGCAAGGCAAGTTCATCACTGCGCAAGCAAAAAGTTAGGAGGTACTGAAGACTAAGTAAGTGTGTCAGCAACCGATTTGCTGTATCCCTGGAGGTAGCATCCAAGCTATTTCCTGAATTTTACTTTGCTTGGTTTCAAGGTAGCATTTCCTAAAACATTACATTGTAGAAAAAGAAGAAAAGTAACTTTGAAAATTTACTTCTTAAAATAACAATAGCTGAAACAATTGTGTGTATTTATAATTTTAATATCTTGCATTTACTAAAATACTTAGTCCTAAGAAGAAAAAAAATGCTGATACCCAAGATAAAATATGCAAAGAACCTACACCAGCTGAATCACTGGTAGCTAGTTATCATTATCACTTCCCATTCAACTCACAATGACAGAGAAGACCACAAGAATATGGGAGAATATGGAAGTGGTTTTATGAGATTATCTTTAGAATTTGAGAATCTAAGTCCATCCACAGAGCGGCCAAGGGCAGTTCTTCTTTAGGAAGGTAACTATGGAGCTTAGGATAATGATAAAAAGGGAAGGGGTGCTGGTCAGCTTCCCACATTGCCATGCTCTGATCTGAAACCCCTGAGTCCAAAATTTAAAATTCAAATCTGGTCTTCTAGTACATTATTAAAGTACCTTATCCAAAAAGTAATATAAACCCTGGCTGGTGTGACTCAGTGGATTGAGTGCTGGCCTGTGAGCCAAAGGGTCTCAGGTTCAATTCCCAGTCAGAGCACACGCCAGGGTTGCTGGCCAAGTCTCCAGCAGGGGGCATGTGCGAGGCAACCACACATTGATGTTTCTCTCCCTCACTTCCTCCCTCCCTTTCCCTCTCTAAAAATAATAAATAAATAAAATCTTTTTTAAAGGAGTATAAGTTTAATTTTATATAACAGGTTATTAGCTTTATTTATGATTTTAAATGTAGACATACAGTCCAAGGTCACCATTTTTATTCTTGCAAATACTTTTCCATACTCTGGACCTGGGCATGGAAAATGGGCCTGATCAAAATCTTTCCTGAGACCATGACATTTTAAGGAAAACACTCTTAGCTTTCCCTGGGAATATAACTAGAAAGTCACATATCTGCTCATCAAGCCAGAATCAATTCTCTAACTTCATTGTTTACTCCTCCAAAAATGTCTGGATGGTTCTGTCCATGAAGGAAGTATGTTTTCAAACAATTTCTTTTCAGTTTAATGTCAGGACACAAATCAGTGCAGTCCAGACCCAACAAGGATTAAGAAAAGCATTATGTTTAATGGGAGTTCAATTATTAGTATTTACAGGTATTTCCCTTTGTCTGCCTCTCTATGTATCTTCCCACACTTTATATACTCCTGGGCTTCACCCCAACTCATGGTTTATTAGTGTCTTCAAGAGAAGAAGAGGAGGAAATAAATGGAAATTCAAACTCTCCATATCTCAGCTCCCAGTAGCAACTCCAACAACAGGCTTTCTGGAGGAAGGTGTAGAAAATCCTGGCAAAGTCATTTTATAAGCTGAATTTGACAATGGATTTCATTATCCATGTGTCTACTTCCTGTCTCTCCCTGTTAATAGATATAGATAATGAGACCTGACTAGTTGGTCCTACTTTTTCCCTCAAAGAGTCAGAAAGATAGTCTGGATAATAAGATGTGGCCTACTATGCCACGCTAAACAAGAAAAATATCTCAGAGGATAGTGTGGAACCAACATAAAAGGCATAAAACTACAGTTGCAAGTTATCAAATGTATTGTCATCTTGTCAGTCATATACCAAAGCTATTTTAAACTTAAATATATTTCTAATCTTACTTGGTGAAACCAATTAAGTACCTACTTTTATATATGTGCATATATCTCATACACATCTGTCTATATGTATACATACACACCTTTACATTGCATGGTACTTCACTTTTCACAGTCAAGTGTTTAAGAAAAAAATTTACATGAATATTATATCCTCATTCTTACAGTAATTGGGTACAAATGATTTGTTCATACAAGGAAAACTATTTTAAACTAAAATATGTTAAAGGAAGAATAATTCATACGGAGAGTTTATACTGTCTTCCAAAGAAATATAATTACTAGATAATGAATATAATTTATTTCTGGGAGGATGTTCTGTTGCTTGCTTGTTTAACAGGAGTATCAGCTGATACTGCTGTTATTTAGCATAACTCATTGGAAACATTTATTATGTTTGGCAAAAAAGGAAGTAATTTAATAATAGCTAATTAGACCAAGATAATGCTATTACATACCCTTCTGCATTAAATGAATTTTTTAAACATAAAAACGAAGTCAGTAGATATGACAGATTTCTGTTTTATTTTGCTCTGTTGTTGTTACTGTCTTGCTGGGGTGCAGAGGGTGGCTGATTTGAACCGAGCCGTCCACCCAACAGCGTGACCCCTCCTGAGACAAAAGGGCCTTTATGTGAGGTATCTCGGAGGAGGCTACTGCTAACGATACCTGCTCGTGGGAGAATAAAGCAGGGTAACATTTTCCTTAAGTCTTCTTGGTTCCACACCATCTTCTTTAATCTAACTTTCTGCTTTTATTTCCCACGAGACCCTCCACGAACCTGCACTCCAACCAAAGTGGTAAACTCACCGTCTCCCACATACCCCACACTTTCTTTCCTGTTTGTGCTCCCGTGGTCTCCTACTCTCAGATGAATGTGATTCTAAATAGCTAAGGTAAAACAAAAAGCTAAAAGAAAATAAAAGAGTATCTCCATTACCTGGGGTATATAAAGACTCTTTTAAGAAGGATGAAAATATACTAACGATGTAATCTTTAGTTAGTATATAAGCTGTTAGTAAGTATACTAACTATAAAAAATGATTGCTAAATTAAAATACATCAAATTCAGAACTTGCATTCATCAGGACATATCATCAGAACAGTAAAAAGGTTAGCCACAGACGCTCATATACAGAATACATAAAAACCCCTACAAATCAACCAAAGAGACAAAACTAAGTTTAAAAATGAGCAAGAACATATGTCACATCATTATATTGTACACCAAAACTAATACAGTATCATATCAACTGTATCTAAAAAAAAAGGCCACCTGAGTGATGGTGGTATTTGGCTGTGGAGAAGGAAGAAACGATCAGATTCTTATCATGCCAGATTACATTGTTAAAAGGGACTCCAGCTAATGTAAATGGTACAGAGACCTGGCTGGTGGCAGGATGCAAGAGGGGTAGGAATTAACAACTAGGGACACAGCCCTTCTCTTGGTAGATTTCCTGGCAGTTTCCCCAGCTGAGAGAGATACATACAAGCCCCCCAAGAGTGCCCCAGATTTGACAGACTTGCTCTGATTTAAAAAAAAAAAAAAAAAGAGAAAAGACACTTGAACAGACACTTAAGAGGAGGATATCTAAACAGCCCCCAAACTTACAAAAATATATTAGAAACCATACTGCTGGAAGGGATGGAAATTTGTATAACCATTCTGGAAACCTGTTGGCAGTAAAGCTGAACATATTCATACTCTATGACTCAGAAGTTCACTCTTAAGTATAATACTGCACTCAACAGGACTGTACACATTTGGACACCATGAGAATCAGTACAAGAATATTGATAGTGCACTACTCAAAAGAACACAAATGTGGAAGTAACCAAAATTCCTTTCAAC